ACTGAAATACATATGTTGTAATGAACAAAAGTCCATAGTTTACATCAGGATTCACTCTTGGTGTTGTACAGTTCTATAGGTTTTGACAAATTGTGTCATGCATCCGCTGTTACCATGTCATACAGAATAGCTTTGCTGCTCTAAAAATCTCCTGTGCTTCACTTAATCATCCTACCCCATCTTTCCCAACCCCTGGCAATCACTGATCTTTTTATTCCAAAACTGTGCCTTTTCCAGAATGCTATAAAGTTGGAATCATATAACTATGTGGCCTTTCAGATTGGCTTCTTTCACTTAGCAATATGCAATTAAGGTTCCTTCATGTCTTTTTGTGGCTTGGTACTACATTTTTTTCTTTCTTTTTAATATAATTTTTAGTACAATTTTAGGTTTATAGCAAAAATGAGTAGAAAGGACAGAGTTCCCTTATGCTCCCCATTTGCACAGCTTTCCCTATTACCAACACCCACTCCAGAATGGCACACTTGTTACATCCTTGACGGCATATGATGTACGGCATCTTTTCACACACTATTTGCCTCCTGTATATCTTTATTGGTGAGGAGTCTGTTTAGATCTTTTGACCATTTTTTAATTGAGCGGTTTGATTTTTTTTATTGCTGAGTTATAAGAGTTCTTTGTATATTTGGATATGTCTTTTATCAAATATGTGTGTTACAAATATTTTCTCCAAGTCTTATTCTCTAACATTGTCTTTCACAGAGCAGACATTTTTTTTTATTTTCATGAAGTCCAACTTACCATTTTTTTGTCCATGCATCATGCTTTTGGTGTTGTATCTAAAAGGGTGTTTAAATATCTGGGAAGCAAGACTTTAAGAGATCACTGGACTCCAGAAGGAAGCTTGAAAATCCTAGGGAGATGTCATGAGTGGGACTTTTAGCATCTGAAGGTGGCTGCTGGCTCTGCATCAACCTGAACAATAAACACCAAATATCTATAGACCTTCCCTGACTCTCCATTAGTGCGCTTGGACCGACCATGTCATCGCTTCCATCTTCTCGCGTGGACTCCACCAGTTTGACCTTTGTGAGAAGGAAAGATTTAGATTTCGTTTTTGGATATATCATTGCTTCTTAATTCTTGATGATTTTCTAAGGCTAACAAAGTATTTAAGTCTTTCCAATAAAATTGTTCAGCCAATCCAGTCTTCCTAACACGGAAATAGAGATAAACAACTCTGGTTTATTTTTTAAAAATATTTTTTAATTGATGTCAGAGAAGAAGGGAGAGGGAGAAAGAGATAGAAACATCAATGATAAGAGAGAATCATTGATTGGCAGTCTCCTGCACGCTCCACAGTGGGGATAGAGCCTGCAACCCAGGCATATGTTCTGACTGGGAATCAAACCATGACCTCCTGGTTCATAGGCTGATGCTCAACCACTGAGCCACACCGGTCGGGCTCTGATTTATTTTTTAAAGATGGTAAGTTCTATATTGTTAAGAAAAGTTCTTTGCCCTAACCCAGTGGTCAGCAAACTCATTAGTCAACAGAGCAAATATCAACAGTACAACAATTGAAATTTCTTTTGAGAGCCAAATTTTTTAAACTTAAACTATATAGGTAGGTACATTGTTATTAATTTAATTAGGGTACTCCTAAGGCTTAGGAAGAGCCACACTCAAGGGGCCAAAGGAGCCACACTCGTGAGCCGCAGTTTGCCGACCACGGCCCTAACCAGTTTGGCTCAGTGGATAGAGCGTCAGCCTGTGGACTAAAGGGTCCCAGGTTTGATTCCGGTCCAGGGCATGTACCTTGGCTGCGGGCACATCCTCAGTAGGGAATGTGCAAGAGGCAGCTGATTGATGTTTCTCTCTCATCGATATTTCTAACTCTATCCCTCTCCCTTCCTTTCTGTAAAAACAAAACAAAACAAAAAAAACAAACAATAAAATATATTTTTAAAAAATTTCTTTGACTCTAACATAAGAAACTTCAAATTGGCAATGACATTTGTAAGAAAGAATTTTAAAAAAGCAAGTTACAACTGATGTGGACGTGTAGTGATCGCAATTTCCCGGGTACCCTTGTTTAACCATAGACCCCGCTCTTTTATATCAAGCATCTTCGGTGATTGTCACTTACAGCATTTACCTTCCTGACCTCATGCTGCTGTGGCTGGCTTGTTTGTAACTATTTCACAAATGTCTGACAGCCCATCTTGTACCTATGTTATTTTTCAATCTACCTCCAATGTGGGCTCCTTTGAGGCAGGAATCAATGGTTTTCACTACTCAGCCCAGAATTTCCCATGTAGCAAGCCTTAATAAGTGCTGTTGAGTTCATTTGTTGAATCTTTATCCAATAATACTTACAGAGTGCTCAAGAGAATTACATTTTTGAGGAGCCACACTTATGAAAAGAATATAGGGAAATGAAGGTTCAGGGAAACCATCCAAAATTCCCCATATGCTGAAATATAAGATAAAGGAGGGAAAAAGAAAGAGCATGTTGGTGATGTTCAACTGTATGTAGGAATTATGTTGAGCAGGATTGTTCTTCATTTCCCCAAAGATTAAGGGAAGAAGGAAATGTAGGTAAAATAAAGATTCGGGAAGCATGGAAGGAAGAATCTTTGCTTTAGGAATCTTGGTGGCGGAAAGCAGAAGGCAGGGAAAAAAGAAACTGGATTTCTCTTAAAGGACACAAAGCTTTGTTAACTTAATGAAGTCCCAACAAAGGGAACACCCAAATGCTGAAGACTGGGCAGCCACATGGTAGCCAGGTTTCCATCCATGTGCCCTTGGGTGAAATTAATGTGCAATGAGCAAGTCCTTGATTGCAAGAGAAACTCAAATCAGTGCCTCTTCCTTCCTTGTGGGTTCTGTGCAAGACAGTGAGTGGTAGGAGCAATAGCCATGATTAATATCAAAATACTGCCTACCCTCTCTGCTGGAAATCAAGAGGCAAGGACAAAACACTTTTTTGAAGGGGTCTCTTGAAAATTTGCAACATCCTATATAATAAAAGGCTAATATGCAAATAGACCAAACAGTGGAACAACCGAACAACTGGCCGTTACAACGTGTGCCGAAGACCAGGGTCATGCGCAGAACATGGTGGGTGTTGACCGCAGTGGGATGGTGGAGCAGGTGAGCGGGGGTGCCAGACCAAGGCGGGGCATGGTTGCTGTCATCGGATGAGCCTCTAATGGGTTACTGAAAATTCTTTGCTCCCATGCCCTGTGATCCCGCCCAGTGCTCGCATCTGCTGCCGGTGCCCAGTGCTGGCCCTGATCACTTGGCACTGTCAGTGGGTGCGAGCAGTGACTGCCTGCCTCAATTGCCCCTCAGGGCTTCTCTACCTCCTGCTGCTCCTGAGGGGTGATTGGGGCAGCAGCTGCAGCTCACACCTGCTGCTGGTGCCGCCCCAGTCGCTCTGCGCCATCAGCGGGTGTGAGCGGGGCTGGTGCCATCAGTGTGTGGGAGCAGGGCTGCCGGCAGACAGGACTGGAGGCCGTGGAGGGAGGGGCTGGGCGAGAGCATGGAGGATGGGCTGAGACCTGCCCCTGTGCCCACCGCAGCCTTGCGGCCTGCAGTTCCTTTCAAGGTGCACGAATTCATGCACTGGGCCCCTAGTCTTATAACAATAGCTCATGTATGGAGCCTTTGATATATGGGAAGGGATATAGGGGACCACATGAGGTAAGGAGGAGCTAGTGTGAGCACCAGTTAGCAGTTGAGGTTGTAGCAGTTCTGTGAGGTCACCTACATGGCTAGCCAAGTCTCTTAGCCAATGAGTGTGAGACCCAGGCACTGAGCCCAGATTTCTATCCCGGTCCAGAGCTCTTGACCCCCACTATCTTGCCCAATGACCTTTGGACGTGAGACCTGCCTAAACAAGTCCTTGGTCAACCCCACTGGCTCCTGGTTTTCTATGATTGGCTTGAATGCCAGTTCCAAGGTCTGGGCCCACTGTGGCCAGAAGAACCTCTGCAGCTGCTCTCAGCCTTGGCTGCACATTAGAACCACCTGGGAAATTTTTCAAAAATGTTGATGCCAGGGTCCCACCCCTAAAGATTTTGGTTTAATTGATTTTCAGTGCAATGTCAGCAGAGACATTTGTGTTTAACTTTTTATTGAAGTATATTATGCATGTAGAAACGTGCTCAGGCTGTCCGTATACATTGCAATGAATTTTTACAAACTGAAGGTACCTGTGTAACCACCACCCCGCTCAAGAATCAGAATGTCACAAGCACGCACCAGGCTCCCTTCTAGTCTCTCCTCCTCCCCGCCTCTCCCACTGTCCAACCACTATCCAGACTTCTGACAGCATAGATAGTTTGGGCCTAGAGTTTTTTTAAAAGAAGAATCTTCTAAAATATATTTATATTGATTTCAGAGATGAAGGGAGAGGGAGAGAGAGATAGAAACATTAATGATGAGAGAGAATCATTGATCGGCTGCCTCCTACATGCCCCCCACCAGGGATCGAGCTCACAACCCAGGGCATGTGCACCGACTGGGAATTGAACTGTGACCTTCTGGTTCATAGGTTGATACTCAACCACTGAGCCACACCGGCTGGACTGGCCTAAGATTTTTAAAGCTCCCCAAATGATTCTAATGTGCAGCTACCACTGACTATTGTCTTACTGGTTGAAGGTGGGATGAACTAAATCAGACGCATAGATACAGGTAAACCAATATGAAAGCAAATAAGAACTCCAAGCTATACTTTCACATTAGCTAGCCAACAGGGATTTTTTTTAAAAAAGTGTTTTTTGGGTTTTTTTTTTTAAACAATATCTTTTATTTATAAACAACTTTTCCCAGCACTCACCTCTTAGTGAAAGAAAACCTGCCACCTTCAGAATTGCCTAAATCACATTTGCAGATAATAATAAATCCATGTACGGAGTGCTTTCTAAGGACCAAGTCCCTTCCTGAATGCTTTACTCGTTATCTTCCTCAATCCCCACGACACCCGATGATAACAGGCTCTCTTATTTCCCTACTTTACAGATGAGGAAACCTCGTCGTGAACAGACAGGCAGCTTGCCCAAGGGCACACAGTTTGTACCGGGTAAAGCCTAACCTGCAGACTGCGATCCTTCTTGCTGTACCTCCACTGTGCTTGGTATTTCAAAAATCTACGCCCACCGACCTCTGCTACTAAATACCTGGACAAAGGTGAGTGCCACACTGATTCCCTCACTCAGTCGAAGGAGCTGGGAAGGTATCGTTACCTGTGTGCACTCGAGGGGCCTTGATGACCAGGTAGCTTTACTTCCTTCTTTCATTCATAGCTAAGGAAACGAGCCAGGAAAGGAAGTTTTGGATGCCTTAACTAGCCGAAGGAAGGAAATTAAAGTCCAAGCCCCAGGGGAGGAAACGCTAGGGAAGGTCTTCACTTGACCTATGACCTCCAAGCCTCAGAGGTACAAGCTTGTGGCCTCTGTTCATACAACCTGTGGCCAGTGATGTTACTATTATTATTTAAGTTAACCTTCATAGCGTATTCACTTGTGAGTATTGTCGTTCGTGTAATTATAAAAGTCTCTTCAAGTGCAGCGAGCGTCTAATCTGAACCAGATCGAGCGCCGATGGTCACGGAGTTTTCTGGGTTGGAAACTGGGTCCTCTCCGGTTTCCTGAGTTTGCTCAGTTGTTTGGATTCCGTGTCATATGTGATCAGCCTCCTCGCATATTTATTCTGGCAGCGGAAGGGGTAGGGTGTGAGGAAATCTCTTGGAGAAGTTTTCATTGAAAACTCTAAGTCTTACTTCGTGAGCACTTTCAGAGAGCAAAAGACAACTCAGAAAATGTCAGGCTTATTGCTTTTCCATTTTCCTCCCCTAAGAAAACAGTTTCTTGGTGTTGTTCATGTTCCCCCCTGTTTTTAGGTCTCCCCCCCACCTCTCCTCTTCCAGGCCCCCACATCCTTTTACTCACTACGTTCAGTTTCCCTGGTCCTTTGCTATGCAACTCCCTTTGAGCCAGAGTGTTGGGTCTGTTGCTCTCTAATTTTTTTTTTTCGGAGCAATTTTCCCAATATAAATTACACCCTCCATTACTTTTCTCTCCCTAGAGCCGTGAATCACATGCTAAGAAGCCATTAGGGTGGGGGCAGCTGGATACAGAGCCCGGAGGTTTGAGCCAGTGCCGGCTTGTCACCCTCGTTCTCTGTTTACCCTGCTGCGGCGGCAGCCAAAGTGCAGCCTGGTGCTGAAGTCACCAGCCAGGGAGGGCCTCTCGTGCCCCGTCTCACTTCACCATGTGCTCTGGGTACCTCTGCTTTAGAGCACTGGCCTGTGCTTGGAGGCAAGAAGAAAAATTAGCTTAACCTAAGATGGCTTGACACTTGAACACGGGGCAGATTGCATAAGTGCCCCAGGTCTGCATCCCTGTCTGCGTCGCTACCCTCTGCCACGGGACTTCGCAGTTCTTTCTACCAAGAGATGATCCACTGATTCGACTGGGGCATCTGCTCTGGGTGTTGGTAGATGGGATACCAGCAGAGGCTTGGAAGCATGCTTGCATCACTGGACTTCTTCTCTTGCCCCTTTACTGTTTCCATGAGAAGAGCACGCCTGGGCTGGCCCAGGGCCCTAGGATGGGAGTAAGAGATACGTGAGGCAGAGCTGCCCCCAGGAAGCTGCCCAGCCCAGCCCAGCTGACAACAGAACCATCCAACTGACCCAGAGATGCATGAACAAACCCAGCCACGATCGATCGGCAGGTCTGCTTAGCCAACCTTCACCTGAACTGCAGGTGCAGGAGCTGGAGTAGGAAGTGATTGGTGTGTTAAGCCTCTGAATTTTGAGGTGGTTTGCTCCCCAGCAATTGCATTGAGATCATCGCCTCTGAGACAAATATGATCATGATATGAGCAACGAGAAACAAAAGCACTTTGCAAATGTCAAATTGTGAGGAGAGGGAATAGACTGTTGAACACATTCTGGACCTGGAACCTGAAGACCTGAGTTCAAAGCCACTCATGCCCCCAATTACTCTACACACTTGGGCAGATAATTTAAAATTTCTGGGTCTTACCATAAACTTACAGAGCTGGCTTGCAAACTCAAAGCCATGAGAGCTTCGAGAGTATGTCAGAAAATTAATATGGTCCTAGAACTTCATTGGTAGAGTTAAGAAAAAGACAGGGAAGGTGGGAGAGAGGTCAGAGAATAATTTATTTGGGTATAAATGAAATGTGATATCCCCCAAAAGGACGGACACATGGAGTGGGGAATTGGATGATTTTGAAGAATATGTTTGATCAAAGGCTGAGAGGTAGACTTGGAGGCCAGATAAAAGTCCCATTTCTTCAGAGACCTGAAAGTGTGGGATTCATGAATGAATAGGTAGGAGAAAACCTTGAATATGGCTTACAGAAGGCACCTTCCCGACATCTCTTCACTTGGAGTACAACAAAGCTGGAGACAATTATGAAGTCTTTGGTCAGGTGGAGAGATAATAGTCCAGACTGGCAGTTCAATACACCTGTCTGGCTCTCTCTGAGCTACCTTTGACTTTTCCTGGTTGTGTATTACCTGGCTTCGACAAGTCGCCTATCCTGTGGACAAGTGGATGAAACACGGTTCATCTCTTCATTATGTATCGGTTACATGCCACATTCCAGGAACTAGCTGGACCCTGGGGATGAAACAGTCTTCAGACCTGGTTCCCGAGTTGGCCACCAACTGAGGTAGATGGATTTTTCATACATTGTCATTCATGTCAAAGCATATACCACTAGATTCTTTTTTCGAGGGGACAGTTATAGCTCAGGGAGGTGAAGTGGCTTGCCCAAAGTCACAGAGCTTATAAGAGAAAGAAGAAAATGTATACCTTTTGACCCTGAAATCTGTCTTGTTTCTACTGAACTATGCTGCATCTTTTTGTTGGCTGTTTGTTTTTATTTATAAAAATGTTACTTCTACACTTTTTTGGGTGCACATTCCTGTACATAAAGTAGTAGAGTTAGGTGCTTGAGTTTCTTTTGTTCCCTGGAGAAGCTGTGTGATTTACAGTCAGAGGATAAAGGTCTCAGTTTCCAGGGCTTTGGAAGTTGGTTTCTCTACTGAATAAGGACTGAGCTTAAATGTACAAAAATAAGGGAATGTTTTAATCAAGTATGGTTCCTCGGCTCAGTGGGACACTTTGAAAACATTAAATATAATGACTATCAAACTTTACAGGTGAGAGTGCAGATTGTTATAGCTCCTCAAGGATATATGGGAAGGGATATAGGGGACCCAATGCTACCCTGGTCTAGAGCTCTTGATCCCCCACTATCTTGCCAGGGTATCCCCCAAAATGTATACACACTTTAACAGCTGATTCTATTACATTTTGAAAATGAAATGTATTTTAATAAACACTGCCTTTATAATTATTCAAAGTGTGTATACATTTTGGGGGGACACTCTGGGTATTTCAGAACTACAAATGAATGTGTCCTTTGTTCTAATAATTTTAGCTTGAGGAACTTATTCTACAGAAATATTCATAGACATACAAAATTATTCAGAGCAAAATTATTTGTTTTCCCTGGCAGGATATTGGAAATAACCTAAATGACCATCACTAGGGAACAGTTAAATAAATTATGGTACCTCCTTAGGATGAAATAGCATGCAACTATGATGAAGAAAGGAAAACAGGAAGAGAAGAAGAAGAAGAGGAGGAGGAAGAGGCTCCTCATGCATTCACATGGAGCATTTCCAGGGTGTCCTGTTCATGAAGATGGTAGGATGATGCCCAGGGGAGAAAGGGAGTCTCTGGGATTCCAGAAGGAGGGCACTGTGACTTACTGGATCAGAGGCAGTAAGTTCTGCTTCCTCTGTGCCAACACTTACTGACTATGTATTATATGGAAAGTGCTTGGGTATGTTTTATAGAATGTCTAAAATGATACGAGAGAAGTCCCTCTACCTACTACAGTCTAGTTGGGGTTGTACATAGTCTTTATATATAAAGATTAAAACCATCACATGATCAGTGAATGAATGTGGAATCAGCTTGAGGTTGGGATGAGGACAAAGTTTGAGCTTCAGGGAATCAGGAGCCTTCAGAAGAATTTCACTTGAGTTAGAGAAGGGTTTAAACAGAAGGATTGTGGGAGCCAGGCAGGGCCTGCCAGGCGGGCCTCTCTTCGCAGAAACTGAATTTAGAACGAGCAAGGTGAAGTTGGGGGCAAATAGGACCACTTTGGCTGGAGACGGGGAGACGAGCTCATAGAGCAACTCAGTGATAAGAGCAGAATGGTAGGTTGGAGCAATACTGAAGAGGACCTGGGACGCCAAGATAAAGATCTGGAATTTTGTTCAGGCATGTGAACCAGGGGCAACATGCACAAAGCAATGATTTGGAAGTGTAATCTGGCCACCCTGTGCCAAGTGGTTAGCAGCGGAGGAGGTCTGAGGTTAGGAGACGCCTGAACACCTCAACAGAAGTCCGGGGACGAGGTGCAGAGGCCCAAGCTAGGTCGGTGGCTGGGAAAGTAGAAAAAAGAGAGAGAGACACTAAGGCTTTATTTCTCAGCCTACCCTGCCTGGACATGACTGTGCATTCTCCGGACAAGTCATAATTATCTTGGGTTTTATTATCTTGGGTTTTACAGGTGTATGACATTGCTGTTGTGCAAGTACATGGGGGCCAAAGAACCTCATCCAGTTGTGTCTCTGGCTGTTTGTCTGCAGATGGTTCCAGACTGAAAACTGGTGTGAAATATGCTTCCCACACATTCAGAGCTGCACCCAGCCTGCTTCTGTGCCCACAGAGAAATCACAAATGGAAGTCCCCTTCCTGAAAGCAAATGCTAACGGGTACAGGTGGTTCTTAAAAGTAATTTTTCTAGTATCGATCAGAACTTCCGTTGATGTTTTCATTTTAAAAAGGGGGTTGCTAAAATAATAACAGGGTGGCTATTTTCAGGTCTTTAAAGGTATTAAATAGATTGTGGGTGCTATCATGTGACGAGGTCTATGCTCTATTGCTAAGTGGTAAGAGCAAGTCTCCTGGCAGTAGCATTACTGCTTCTGCTGGAAGCATCGCATATAGGTTAGACATGGAGTCGGGGAGGCCACCCTCCAGCTGGGGTACAGGACACGTGGGAAGGAGGGTGCAGAATGGGCACGTCACTTTTTGCTTTTGAATTGTTGTGGTATTTGACGAGCAGGTTAATGCCTATAAAGAAGAAATTCTTAAGGCATTTAGTGTATTCCAGAAAAGAACAGCCCCACAGTGCCTTCCTCAGGCTCAAGCCCATGATAAGAAAATAAGACGAAAATGCTAGTTAGGGAAGCAGAGGCAGGGAGGCGATAGTGAACGTCTTCCGTGAGTCCATAAACTGCTTCTCCGGGCTTACTCCCCAGCAGAACCTCGTCTGGTGAAGAGCTTGGACTTGTCTCCTTGGGCAAGTTTCTTATGTCTCGGCCTCAGTTTCCTCAGCTGTAACATGGGGCAGCTGTGGTAAAATGAACTCAGGGATAGAAAGCACCGCTTTGCAGATGGCGGCCACCACCTCGGAGGCCTTCCGTAATTACTGGCTATGACTGCCATCGTCTACCTGACATTTCCAAACACTTAGCATTGCCCTTGTACCTTTCCTTGACCCTTTAATTATTTATTGGCTTGACCCCCTACTAGAATGTGCACCTTAGAAGCAGGTTTGTAAGTTCTTTTAATTGTTTTTCTTCTTTGCTGACAAAAATAATACATTCTTTTTAAAATATATATATATTTTTTATTGATTTTTTTACAGAGAGGAAGGGAGAGGGATAGAGAGCTGGAAACATCGATGAGAGAGAAACATCAATCAGCTGCCTCCTGCACACCCCCTACTGGGGATGTGCCCACAACCAGGGTATATGACCTTGGCCGGAATCGAACCTGGGACCCTTCAGTCCGCAGGCTGATGCTCTATCTACTGAGCCAAACTGGTTACGGCAAAATAATACATTCTATTATCCCCAAAGAAAGTAAAAAAATCTGCCTTCATCTCAAGCCCTAAAGATAATCTTTGTTGGTTATGGTTTCTACAGGGTAGGAATTGGGGCTACACCATGGCCCTTTGTTGGTATAGGGCAAGGTAGTAAATATTTTTGGCTTAGCAGCCACATGGTATCTGCTGTAGCTACTGAACTTTGTCCTTATATCCAGACAAAATACCTAAACAAATGGTATGGCTGTGGTCCAATAACACTTTATTTCCAAAAGCAGGCTTTAGCCCATTTTGGCTGATTCCTGTTCCAGAATAGTACTTGCTGTTTAATAGGAATATAATGTGAACCACATATGTAACTTTATATTTTCTTGTAGCCATACTGAAAAAAAGTTTTTTAAAAAAGAAGAATTAGGTCTCTCTCTCTCTCTCTCTCTCTCTCTCTCTCTCTCTCTTTCTCCCTCCCCCCCAATTAAAAATAAAAAAATAATAATGAAAATTGAAAAGTGGAATCAATTTCAATAACATGTTTTATTTAATCCAATGTATCCAAAATATTTCTTCAACGTGTAATCAAAAGAAATAATTATTGAAACATTTTACATTCTTGTTTTTGTATTAAGTGTTTGAAATTTGCTGTTACATCTCAAGTTGGACTAGCCCCATTTCAAGGGCCCAGTCGCCACCCGGGCTAGGGGCGTCCATCCTGGACAGCTTATCTGATAGCCTGATAACCTTTGTATGCATATAATTGCACACATTCTTAAAAACAAAAGTAACATAACATGCATGCTTTTTTTCACTGCCTAATCTTTCTTGGAGATCTTTCTCTACCTTCCCATAAAGATCAACCGTTTTCTGGACAGTGATAGTATTCTACTGTTTAGATGTAGCATAATCTATTTGATCAGTTTCCTATTGGTGGGCATTTGTATTGTTTCTAATTTTGAATTGTTATTTAAAATAGTTCAGGGATTGTCCTTCTACGCAGAAGTCCTGGCACCTGTGGGAGTATATATTTAGAATAAATTCTTGGGAGTTGAATTGCTGAGTCAAAGGCTGCGTTGACATTGAACTTCGTAATGACTATGGCCAAGCTGGAGAGCTGGAATTCTATCTTGTTTTTCTCTGTATCTCCAGCATGTTTGCTCTCAGTGGATAATTGTTAAATGAGCGGATAGATAAAAATCTATCCATTGAGAGAGGGAGGGAGGGAGAGAGAACTAATACAGAATAAAGTGGGGACAGTTAACTGCATATTGAGGAGACAAACCGAAACACCCTGGGGTGGTAGAGGGAAAGCTGTTTAATATTCAGTTAAACTCCTGTTCGCTCAGCCCAGTTCCAAGCCCTATCCCTCTCAGGAGGTCTCCGGCCTTGGGTCTCAGGCTGTGGCCTGTTGTGTTGCACTAGGAAATACTCTCTGCGTCTGAAGGCCCAGACTCCCCGGCAGCAGGCAGGACAGGGTGTCTAGCTAAGGGTGGAGGTAGGTGTTGGAGGTGGTGAAAGGACTGCCTCCCCGGGGCCTGGGAAAAACCCTGCTCCTCGGGGATCAGACAGGCTCGGGGATTCCGGAGTTCCACCTGCCGCTGATGCGAAACCTGCCGCCCTCTTGGAATGAGGGCATGCATCCTCCCAGGCCCCGCGACCTGTCACCACCATGGCAGAGAAGTTTCCACTCTCCAGTGGCCAAGCACACAGACAGGAAATCTGACTGTAAAAGCCTGAATGTACCTTGCGATCTTCCCTGTCCCCCTTCCTGCTAAGAGTTATCCCCTGGCCTGTCTCTCGAACCCCGAGCTCTGGCCACACTCACAGCTCTGCCTGCCCCTCCTGTCCACCGGCCTCCCTCACGCATTGTTCTCCAGCACATCCCACCCTCCTGCCAACTCAACCCTGAGAGCAGGCTGTTCTGTAGTCTCTGGAAGGCAAGGCCTGGCTTCTTCATCCCCAGAAGCTGCCGTCGTTGGCACATAGTTGGCACTTAACAGATGTTAGCTGAGTAATGGGAGAAAATAATCACCAGACTTCAGCTTGCCCTCTAACTTCTATGTGAATAACTCACCAGACAAGCATTGACCAAGTGCCAGGTATATGCCAGGCACTAGGTCAGGTAAACGAGACAGACAGACAGGTCCCTAAGGTCATGATCTCAGGCTCTTTTCTGACAATACCTAACACTTCACAGCTCCCCAAACACCCATGGATCATTCTGTACCTTTATTCACTCAAATATTTATTTGGGCACCTATTATCTGCTAGCATTAGCTAGACACATACTCTCTCCCCTCCCTACCCCCAATATATTTTTATTGATTCCAGAGAGGAAGGGGGAGGGGAGAGAGAGAGAAACATCAATGATGAGAGAGAATCATTGATTGGCTGCTTCCTGCACACCCCCTACTGGGGATCAAGCCAGCAACCTGGGCATGTGCCCTTGGCTGGAATCGAACCCAGGACCCTTCAGAACGCGGGCCAATGCTCTAGCCACTGAGTTAGACCAACCAGGGCTAGACACATACTCTCTTAATCCTCACAGGAGTCCTCCAACGCAGATAATACCGGCCCCACTTTATAGATGGGGCTGTGGGATTAAGCAACTCGCCAAATCTACATGTGCCAGGAGTGTGCGGCCAGGATGCCAGCCGAGGGTTCCTTGAATTGCTTTCCTCTACATCCCTACACCGCAGTCCTCAGTACCTCTCATTGTAACTTCTAAATATCTCACTGCTTTACATGTTTCGGAATGGGAGCTCCCTGCAGTGCCAGAGTGGCTTGTCCAAGTTACTGTGGCTGGTGGTCAGCCAGGACTAGACTCTAAAGAGCACAGGCTTACTTGCCAGGTTACATGGCTCTTTATATTTTGAAATAAAATAAAAGGGGGCGGTGTTACTGCTCCTTGGGTGCTAGGATCCGAGGGGCTTGTGCCGCAGCGGCGACGGCGTCACTGTTCAGGCCTTTGCCTTAAATTCAGGCCCAGAGTCTCCACTTCCTCCTGCTCCCACGCCTCTCCCAGCTGCCAAACCGTCTCCCTCCCAAGGCCATGCTTTTGGGAGCAAGGAAAGAAAAACAAGAGTAAGTCGTTTTGGTTAAATAAGAACTAATGGATCCAGGCAAAATGATTGTAATCAGACCCACAGACACTCTCCTGGCCAGGAGGGGGAGATTCTGTGAAATAGTAATGCTTACATTCTCCTCTTTTTTCCCCTTCCCGCTCTGAGCGGTGGACTTTTCTGCCCTGACGCTGTTTAAAATCTTGCCAGAGGCAGGAACACACAGGGAAAATATCCTGCCTATAAACAAGGAAAAGCTTCATGGAAGGGACTTGGCGTTTGGAGACTTCTATTGGGATTGGCAGCAGGAAAATCTAACGCTCTGGAAATAATGACCCAGCATTAGGTCACTTGGGCAACGCAGCCACCCTGCACAGACGGAAAACGGTTGCCTCAGCCTCTTTTCTCCCCAGCTCGAAGCCACAAGGAGGATGGTGCATGCATTTATTCAATATTCAATGATCTTTGCTATTTACAGGGAATTTGAAGAGATCCAAAGTGAAAACACAGGCTCTTCTAGATTACGGTGCGGCGGGAGTAACCCCGCGCAGGAGAGCTGTGGGGCCACGTGGGTGGTGATCGGTGACTCCCAGGGATCCTCCCGTAGCCGCGGCCTGGCTGCTCTCTGCCCAGCGTCCAGGCTGGAGTCTCACGGCCAAGTTCCCCTCTACAAACTCTAAAAGGCCTCCTGTGCCTCCCACGATCTCTCACAGGGCTCGTTCCATTCCCACCAGCACCCTAGCTCACCCCACCAGAGAATTGTTTTTTGTTTAATTTTTTTCTTTTTAAAATTATATATATATTAGAGGCCCGGTGCACAAAAATTTGTGCACTCGGGGGGGAGGCGGGGGTCCCTCAGCCCGGCCTGTGCCCTCTTGCAGTCTGGGACTCCTCGGGAGATAACGACCTGCTGGTTTAGGCCTGCTCCCGGGTGGCAGAGGGCAGGCCCAATCCCTAGGTGCAGCTCCTGGTCGGGCTCAGAGCAGGGCCGATTGGGGAGTTGGGGCACCGCCCCCTGTCATGCACAGAGCAGGGAGGATTGGGAGGTTGCGATGCCACCCTCAGTCACGCTCAGGGTAGGGCCGATTGGGGGGTTGGGGCACCGCCCCCTGTCACACTCAAGGCAGGGTCGATGGGGAGGTTGCGGTGCCACCCCCTGTCACGAACAGAGCAGGGCCGATCAGGGGGTTGGGGCGCCACACCCTGTCACACACAGAGCAGGGCCGATCAGGGGGTTGGGGCACTGCAGCCTGTCACACACAGAGCCGCAGGGCAATCAGGGGGTTGGGGAGCTCCCCCATATCAGGCACAGAGCAGGGGTGATCAGGGGGTTGGGGCGCCTTCCCCTGTCATGAACAGAGCAGGGCCGATAGGGAGGTTGTGGCCCCACCCCCTGCCACACACAGAGCCGCAGGACGATCAGGGGGTTTGGGCGCTTCCCCCTGTCACGCTGATCCTGGTGCCGGGAGGCCTCGCGGCTCCCCTGATCCTGGTGCTGGGAGGCATATTACCCTTTTACCATATAGGATAGAGGCCTGGTGCACGGGTGGGGCCGGTTGGTTTGCCCTGAAGGGTGTCCTGGATCAGGGTGGGGGTCCCCACTGGGGTGCCTGGCCAGCCTGGATGAGGGGATGATGGTTGTTTGCATCTGGTCACACCCCCTTCAGGGTGGGGGTCCCCACTGGGGTGCCTGGCCAGTCTGGGTGAGGGGCTGAGGGCCGTTTTCAGGCTGGCGGGTAACTGAAGCTCCCAACCGCTCCTTTTTTCCTTTTTTTTTTTTATTCTTGGATTTATGGCTG